TCTCCCAGAGATTCATACTACCAATGCCTTCTTCCTATGGGTTGCTCGGCTAAGTTGACTACACATTCAGCTTTTCCTGCATTTGTTGCTTCCAATTGCGCAAGTTCTGCCTCACAAAGATTTGTTTGATGCTCTATATCAAATGTATCCGCCACAAGCTCTTCAAGAACATCAACTTGGCAGCAAGTGTCGGAAGTCAATGGGTGTTTCATTGTCTTGAACACGTTGAATATGACTTGCTCATTGTCCACTCGAAGAATCATTTTTCCATCATACACATCAATCAATGCTCTCCCAGTAGCCAAGAACGGTCTTCCTAAGATCAGAGGAATATTTGAGTCCTCTTCCACGTCCAAAATAATGAAGTCAGTCGGAAAAATAAATTTGTCAACTTTGACCAACACATCTTCAATAATTCCTTTTGGTTGTTTGATCGATTCGTCGGCCAGTTGCAAAGAGATTGTTGTAGGTTTTGCTTCTCCTAATCCAAGAGACTTGTAAACAGAGAGAGGCATCAAATTAACACTGACACCTAAATCACATAAAGAATGTTCAAAGAAATTAGAACCAATTGTGCAAGGTATAGTGAAACTCTCTGGGTCTTTTAGTTTAGGAGGTAGCTTTCTAAATAGTATTGCACTGCACTCCTCGTTCAAGCATACTGTCTCACGTTCTTCCAGCTTCCTTTTGTTAGATAGGATCTCTTTCAAGAATTTTGCATAGCTGGGCATTTGGGCAATTGCGTGTGCAAAAGGAATATTGATGTGCAGTTTCTTGAAAATCTCCACAAACTTGGCAAACTGATTAACCAACTTCTTTCTTTGTAACCTTTGAGGGAAGGGTATTGGTGGCACATAAGCCTTCACAGGGCTGGGTGCTCTCACTGCAAGTATTTCTTTCCTTTCGTTTTTCTTGTCAGTTGGTTGTTCAAACTCTTTACTTCTTTTCCAGTCTCTTCACCCATTATTTCCTTTTCTTTTCGCTCTGGTTTCTTCACATGTATTTCTGGAAGTTGCACCCCACTCCTGATAGTAATAGCTTGCACTTACTCTTTTGGATTGACCATTGTGTTGCCTGGCAATGTCCCTTGTGGGCGTTCTGCAAGCTGTTGAGCTATCTGATCAATTTGTGTTTCCAACTTCTTGATTGATGCTTGTTGATTTTGAAAGTTAGTGTCAATCTGCTGAAACACTTTGTCAGTCTTTAGCATGTACTGGTTGAACTTCTCCCCCAAATTTGGTTTTTTCTCCTGTTGGGCATTATTTGAACTGTTCTTTGTTGATTATCCGACCATCTGAATTTTGGGTGTTGTCTCTATCCTGGGTTGTACGTTTGAGCAAATGGATTAAAATTTCGAGACCCATTCTGAATGAGATTGACCTGTTTGTCAAGATAGCCTATAGATGTGCAATTTTCTGTAAGATGATTAGCCCCACAGTTCTCGCATGATGGACCAGCTGTCACTGCATGTGCTTCTTTCGTTTGTGATTTCACTAATAGCTCCACCTGTTTTGTCAATGTTATTATTTGGGCATTGGTAGCTGTTTTGCTGTCTAACTCATACATTCCTCCTGTCTTCGGTGGCGCCACTCTTTCCGATGAGAGCATTGAATGTGTAGTGGCAATCAATTCAAATAGTTCCATGGTTTGTTGCACAGATTTTCCTATAATTGATCCTCCAGCTGAGGCATCGACTTGAGATTTTGACAGTGGTGCAAGTCCAGTGTAGAAGTACTGCACTTGATTACCTATAGTAATTCCATGGTTTGGGCATTTTCTCATCAACTCATTAAACCTATTCCATGCTTCGTGATAGCTTTCTCCCTCTTTCTGTTGAAAAGTTTGAATTTCTAATATGATTTTAGGTACCTTCTCCGGTGGGAAAAATTTATTGCAGAACTTCCTGATTAGTTCTTCCAATGTGGTAATGCTAGCGTGAGGCTCATCATCTAACCACTCCAATGTAGCGTCTCTCAATGTAAATGGGAATAGTCGTAGTTTAATAACATCTTCATTGACCCTCGGAGCATAAAAGTTTTGACAATTTCTGAGAAATCTAGATATATGCGTGTTTGGATTCTCTTGAGGTAGCCCGTAGAATTGCAGGGTGTTGCTCATCAAGTTAATCAAATCTGGCCTGATCTGAAAGTTATTCACCCCAAAATCTGGATATACGATACTGGAGCGCATGAGTGCTGCTATAGGTGTCAGGAACATTGATACTGACAAATCACCTTCATTTATTTCCCCTCGCTCATGCTGCTGTTCCGGTGGTGCCACTCTTGCGGCCATTTGTCCAATCGGCTGAATAGGGATATGAATTTGTTGATTGTCAGCCATTTGACGTTGCTATTTTTGTTTGTGTTCTTTGCGTCTTCGTCTGAAGGTACGCTCTATCTCCGAATCAAACGATTTAAGATCGTCGCCTTGAGCACGGAGTATACAACGAACACAATATTCTGTAAATAAAAGAAAAATAAATAAATCAAATAACAGTTAAAATAAAAATTAATTGAGACTAGAAGAAATAGTCCCCCGCAACGGTGCCAAAAACTTGTTGTAAAATTTTGTTTCGCAAGTGTACGACCCATAACAAGTAATAGCGGATCTAAGAGTCCGGTTTGTCGATCCCACAAGGACTATTTTCTAGCACTTAATTCAGTATTTCTTTAACTACTATTTGACTAACACAAATCAAAGGTTGTAAAATCTGGGTTTTAATCTAAATTCTAGAAAATAAATGAATGTTCACACGATTGGTTGGAGAATCAAATAATGAATGGATGTTAGCGTAGAATAAATTCACCAATTGATCACCTTTACATCTCAAATTAAAACTTAATTCGAATGTAGTGCTAAGTCGAATTCTCTTATTATATTTAATTTACCCCTCTGAGTTCTCATTAAATCTATTCAACTAATTAAATTTCATATCTCTATGCAAATTTAACTTAGTTAAACGAGTTCTATGTTTTAGGAATTTAATTATGACCTCAATAAATGGTATATGTATCTCTACTCGTTATACCAATGTATTGAATTTTACTACATGGTTTAAATCCTAAACTCATATCTCTATTTGTAAAGAAGTCACAAGAATCATCAAATTATTGATCAGATAATTTAATGCATCAACTCATTACAAAATCAACACATGTAAGAATTAAAAATTGAAAGTCTTAATAAGAGAATGTAAAAGATCCCAATTGGTTACATTATTCTCCCTAATAATGAATTTAGCTACTCATAATACAAGAAGAAAAGTAGAAAATTGTCTTAGAATACATCACCGAGTTTGTAATAAAGATGTAGAAGAAAAAGTAGAATTCTTGCACCAAAATCTCCTTCCTTTTTCAATGAATGCTTCTAATCTCCAATTGCTTGGTGTTAATCTTCTTGAATTTCTCTTTTGAATTTCCCTTCTTGTTGTCTTCTTTCTAATATGTTAAGAACCCTTCAAAAGTATGAGGAAGATGTATTTATAGGTGCCCCTTCTGTTTTATGTAGTAGGGTTTTATGGATCTAAAAATGGCCCAAAAGAAACGCGCCCTAGATCTTCAATTGCAGTGCCTAGGCGCTACGAGACAACGCCTAAGCGTTGGTTATAGCGCCTGGGCGCTGTGGTTTCGGCGCCTGGGCGCCATGGTTGCGGCGCTGCCTCTCGGGTCCAAATTTCATCTTCATTTTTTTTCAATTTCGTAGCGCCTAGGCGCTATGAATGCAACGCCTAAGCTTCGTCTTTCTGTCCTAATTCCGTGTTTTTGGCCTCTTCGTCCACTTTAATACTTCTTTTCACATCGCTTCTCATAATTTTCAAAACAACACTAACAAACATATCAAAGACGTTTTATACTCACAAGATCTATCATTTAATCAAGTTACAATTGTGCAAAAATCATGAGTGAAACAAACTCATCAGTCGCCCTGAACCCGCCCCGTGAATTATTTTTTTATTTTATTTATTATTATTATTATTATTATTATTATTTTATATAAAAGGTTAGGGTTCAACTTGCTTCAAATAGAAGGATGACCTATTTTCTAGTATCTTCAATTGTACAAGTATTATCAAACTTGACTAATTTATATATACTATTATGCTACTTGTTAAATTGATATTATATTGATAAAAATAAATATAAAAAGATATAACATGTTCAATTGAACAAATTTGAAAATTTATATATTGTCATAAATTAAAGTGTGTAGGGTTATAACTTTTGTGACAATATCAAAGGAAAAAAACCTTGTTCATCCTAATAATCAATGTTGTGTACCAATAGTGACCATTATATTTAATATTTGTAGTGTTTATTTTGGATATTAATTTTGTTAGCTTGAATGTTATCCGTATTTTATTGAATTCGAAATAATTAAAAAAAAAGTTAAACGGGGCAAGAAAATTGCCCTGCCCCGCCCCGCCTTGCCTTTGACAGGGCGAGGCGGGGTGCGCCCCGTTGCCATCACTACTTCTAGTGATGTTATCAATTATGTATTTATTATATGTATATAGATTGTATATAAGGAAATGGAGACAATATAACTTTATTAGAAATTTTGTAAAACATATTATGGGTACATGTGTTAGGTATGCTTTTGCTATTTGACATTTAACTTAAAAGACTTTTGAGCAATTGGTGGTATGTGACTATAATTAAATACATTAATATATCCTCAAATTGCCTATGGAAAGTTTTATATATTTCTTGATAATTTGATATATATTCGATATAGCTTCAACATGGGTGGTCACAGAATTAGGAATAAGGAATCAATGTTATGTTTGGACTAGAATGAACACGCTTTTATCGAAATTCTTTATGATAAAGTGAAATCAAACGCATTGCAATGTTCTACATGTACGAAAGACGAATGAGACAGGATCAATGAAACCATGATAGCTTCAACAAAAATGGATTACGGCATAGATAGATTAAAGGGAAAGTGGAACCGCTTACGTAAGATTCATCGCATGTTATTTGAACTTTTGGGACATACAGGTGTTATATGGGATCCAAATACCAACAAAGTTAATGTTGCAAAAGAAGTTTGGCAATACTTTTATACGGTACATATATTTATTAAAAAATATTTTTGTCATTAGCTTTTTTCTCATCAATTTTACATTTTTTTGTTGAACACTTTGACAACGTGACTTCTTTTTTCAATGGTAGATTAACAAATTGGATTACAAGATGTTCAAGAGGGAAAGACGAGCAATACCACAATCTTGGGAGATATTTAGTGAGACTACAACTAATAGAGATTAGGTAATGCCTCCACTCAACTTCCAAACACATCAGAGGAAGGAAGGTAGCTAGAATATGATTTTTTTTTTTTAACAGGGGAGTGCATGTATGTGCGGAAAATGATGATGAAGTCGATGTGGTTTCAAATACGCGTTAATGTAACGAAATTGGTACATCGGGTGAACGTCGACGCAAGGAACCTAAGATTAGTAAAAGTGATAAACTCGAGGCCTATATGATACAGTGGCCATCTACAATTAGTTTGAGGAATGAAGAAACTGAACTTAGAAAACTTGTAAAGATCCAATAAAAATCAAGTAATCAATCGGATAGTGAAGTTAATGGTCCGGATCCTTAGTCAAATGTTATTTGCTTGGTCATCTTAAACAATATGGAAGGGGTGTCCAATGAGGTTTATATGAAAGTAATAAAGGCTTTTAAGAATCTCGATTTCAGGATGTCATTTGTGAAGACACCAGAAGCAAGGAGAAGACCTATTTTGGAACAATTTTGATGTAACTGATGTTTTAATTTCTCTAGTAACGTGTAATGTTGAAGGTTGAAGTACTGTGTTATTTTCAAAGTTTGAAGTATTTTTTTTCCTTTCATGGTGATGTCGTACTGTTTTCATTTACAAATTTAGTGATGTTGTTGGTTGGAGAACTGATGTTAATTTTTCTTTAGTTTTTAAATGCTTGATTGCTTGTTTTATTTGAAAGAATGATGTTTGATATGGCTTATGTTAATTATTTTGGTTATATTTTGTTCACAGTATGGCCAGTAAATCAAATGTGGATGATAATGTAAGTACTGATGATTCCATTGATGAAGATTCGAGTGATAATGATTTGTTATATATGGATGACTTTGACATAAATTTTGGAGATTTAATGATGTTTAATTGCTTTGTTGCCAATAAAGGAAGTACCATGGTAGGAGTCCTTGTAAAACATCATTATTTATGGGAAGAATGTACATGCTAGAAATTTTGAATGGACATCTGGACGTGTGCTACCATAATTTTCGTATGCAGAAACACGTTTTCATGAATTTTTGTAATATTTCGACAGAGAAAGGGTTGCTAAAAGAAGGGAAAAAAGTAAGCATCGATGAGGGTGTTGCTATGTTGCTGATTATTGTAGGGCGTGCTACACTATTTCGTGTTATTGACGATAGGTTTTAACATTCCAACAACACGATACACAAATGGTTTAAACGAGTTGTAAAGGCTGTTTCTTCATTTGGCACTGTGATAATCCGCTCGACAAAATCAAGATATTGTGCATTAGTGGACTTTGTGCAAATATAATTTTTTTTAAGGATTGTATAGGCGCAATAGATGGAGCACATGTTGCAGCTTGAACTCCTGCATCGAGACAAATATCTTTTCGAGGAAGGAAAATTAATGTAATACAACATTTGATGTTGATATGTGATTTTGATATAAAATTTACATTTGTGTATTCTGGTTGGAAAGATACTGCTAATGATTCTCAAGTATTCGTTGACACAGTCACAAGAAGCTCGAACAACTTTTCAATACCATGGGAGGTATATTCTTATACTTCAAATAATTATCGTGAATATATTTACAGTGTCACACTACGTATGCCTTTTTTTATTTTGTAGATCAATTTTACCTTGTTGATTTTGGATATCCAAACATGCATGGATTTCTTGCTCCTGATCGAGGTCAAATATATCATCTGCGTAACTATGTTAGATGGGAAAGACTACTTGAAAAGGGAGAATTGTTCAATTATAGACACTTCTTGTGCCATAACATTATTGAAAGTTGCATTGGAATTTTAAAGGCAAAATTTCCTATTTTAAAGTTGATTACCAATTATCCACTTAGTAGAAAAAGATAAATTCATACTGTATGTTGCGCAATAAACAGCTTTATTTGCTAGGAGCACGTTTTAGATAAGTTGTTCGTAGAGTATTCGGAGGAGAATATAATATTTCAAGATATACTGAAGTTAAGTTAAGATCAAGAAGTCATACATTTTAATGCTAGTCAAACAGCTCAAATGGGACAAGTCAGGGATCAAATTGTTACACAAATGTGGAATGACTAATCAAGACATCATACATGATTCCGTGGATGTACTTTATATTTTGCTTAGTGTCTATTTGTTTTGCAATGACACGTAAACTTCTAATAGTATCTATTGAACTATGTTGCCAAATTTAATTTAGGTTGTGTTAAATATATCTGCCAAAAAAATTTCAAGATTCACCAACTTTAAAATTTATATATTATTTAATACTATATTATCATTAAACTATTAAAGTTTATTGAATAATCATATTTGTTGAATAAAATATAATAAAAAATATTCTCAAAAATTCAAAGTAAACGCGTTTTTCAATTTTATGTTTTCAGAAACAATTTTTCAAAATGATAAAGAGAATGTATTTTCAACAATTTCAAAACAGGTACTCAAAATACTAAACCTAAAATAAATTCAAAACTACAAAACTGAAACACAAATAGCATAGTCCCTTACCGACCCAATAAGATATTAGGGTTCACTGTTCCATTGATATTTCGAAGTACATTAAATAAAAATGAAATGTAATGTTTGTTGATGACACAATTAAGAATGAGATGGGCATTTATCCCAGAAAATCTGAACTGTCGATTTACAGATTTTTTTATTATTTAGAGGACAACTTTATTGATTAGTGGAGGAATAATTAATGTCTCAAATATGGAGTATTGACTTATTTGCACATAATCCCTATATTATTTATTGTATAGGGACTTTTGATAACCTGGTGAAGTATACTGTGAGATCCTTTCCGATATAATATTATGTCCATAATTTGGGCATTGAAAAATAAAACAATTTTGGCATGATATCAAATTGGAAATGATAAATAATAGTTCTTTACACCCCACCCCCACCCGCTTTTCTTGTTTAGCTATATCCACTCCACAATAACATTTATTGTGGGTCCCAAAATTACAGATTTAGAGAAATAGGTTATTTATAATGAGCAAAACACTGCTTGTACATGTAGATGCTGCACCACTTGCACCATCTTAATGCAGAATATAAAACTATAACTATTAAGATATTACAGTTAACAATTCAAGAGAGAAAATGCAGCAAAGAACAGAACATTACATCATTCGAATTGGACAAACGACAAGAATTGAGCAGTAATGCTGAGCTTTATTTTAATGTTTTAGTCCTCGTATTGCTCTTCAGCACCCTCATCATAGTCTTCTTCCTCCTCTACAGTAGCATCCTGGTATTGTTGATACTCTGCAACCAAATCATTCATATTGCTCTCAGCCTCAGTGAACTCCATTTCATCCATCCCTTCCCCGGTGTACCAGTGCAAGAAGGCCTTGCGTCGGAACATGGCCGTGAACTGCTCACTCACTCGCCTAAACATTTCTTGAATTGACGTGGAATTTCCTACAAACGTTGAAGCCATCTTCAGGCCGATTGGTGGAACATCACACACGCTGGACTTTACATTGTTAGGGATCCACTCAACAAAGTATGATGAGTTCTTGTTCTGGACGTTGAGCATTTGTTCATCAACCTCTTTGGTGCTCATTTTCCCTCGGAACATGGCGGAGGCTGTCAGGTAGCGTCCATGGCGAGGGTCGGCTGCACACATCATGTTCTTGGCGTCCCACATTTGCTGAGTTAGCTCCGGGACAGTGAGAGAGACATAATGCTGTGATCCACGAGAGGTGAGTGGTGCAAACCCGACCATGAAGAAATGGAGACGTGGGAAAGGTATCAAGTTCACAGCCAGCTTCCGGAGGTCAGAGTTCAGCTGGCCTGGAAACCTCAAGCAGCAGGTCACGCCACTCATAGTTGCAGAGATCAAATGATTCAAGTCACCAACTGTCGAAAGAAGGATAAAAAAACACATCGATTAGCATACAGTCAAAACTTCCCGGTGCATGTTTGAAAAGGTGAAGTAGAAAGATCTCGTATATTAAACTGTAGAGTCACGTTTGATACTGTTTATTCTTCATGTAAATGTGCGGGTACTCACAGCTTGGATTGCTCAGCTTCAGAGTCCTGAAACATATGTCATACAGTGCTTCATTGTCAAGAACCATGCATTCATCGGCATTCTCAACCAACTGGTGCACTGAGAGTGTAGCATTATAGGGTTCTACAACAGTGTCTGAAACCTTTGGTGAAGGGAAGACAGAGAAAGTGAGCATCATTCTGTCTGGATATTCCTCCCTTATCTTTGAAATCAAGAGGGTCCCCATTCCCGAACCAGTGCCTCCTCCAAGTGAGTGACATACTTGGAATCCTGGCCACATGAAACAATTTTGCAAAATGTAAAGTTTATCAATCAATGTCTTTTTACTCTCTCACCACTTCATTTTCTGCTGTATTATTAGAATTGCCAATTGCATGATTGCATTTGTTCATTGCACAAATAAATGATTTTTATCATTTTGAGTTACCTTACATAGTATACAATAAAAAGTTATTTAACAATTGAAGTAACAAAGGTCGTAATTAACACAAATCGATAGGGAAAAACCTCAGGCAACCAGCCAATCCAGCAAGGATTGACCGGATTTTTGACCTCCAACTTTACCCCGGTTAAATTTTTTGATCTTTAATTTCTCGGATTTACTTTTTACCAACTCAGTGGCCAAATCGAGCTTAAAATTTTGCTACAGAATCCTGAATTTTCACTCATTAGCAGTTGGTGAGGGTAATAGAACTGTCGGTGCCATGGATCAATGCCATTACAACAAAGCAATAATTAATGAAGAGGTGTCAATAGATTCTCCCCAAATGAAAATAATATACTGAAGAGATGAAGGGTTCCTACTTAAAACAAATAGGGGTCCACTAATAATGCATCATAGAGAAAATATTAACTTTATGAATATAAAATATCAACCAACCAAATAAAGATAAACATATAATTAGTAGAAAAAAATTACAATAAGATAATCAGAGTTTGGATTTATTAATCATTGTTTTAAATTACTGCACAAGCTAAGTTCTAATAAGAACTACAGATAAGTTAATTTCTTTCCATACTTCAATTGCATGGAAATGCACATTGACCTTACCTTATTGGAGAGAAACAATAAGTAAATAAAATAAGGTTGAGTAATAGCATGTTTGGCACATCGACTTAGATAAGGGAAAAAAAAAAACAACCAACAAATTATATCATTACATTTTCGTACTTTATCTTGTCTCTTTATGTTACTTGATGTGATCTAGTCATGTCTAGATGAGTGTACCACAATACATGTATATCCTTATTTGCAAGTGGTCCTAACATTTGGTTTGTTCCTTCACAAAATTAGGGTATTACTTGTAAACAAATAATTGTCATCGAAATCAACAAGATCACCTATTGGCAGACAAATATCTACCGTAAAAATATGAAAATCGAGCATCTAACTTTATTCTTAATTCCACACTCCTTCATTTAATTTACATCAATGCTGGTGATTATGCAAATCATGATATTAGAGATCGAAGAAAAAATCATATCTAAAAGAGATCAAATTACCCAATAATCCAATGATGGAGCGAAAATCACAATGCTGCATTTTTACAACTATACAAAACAATATATAAACAAAAAATATGTCACGAACAAGACAATTAACATCCGTAGATCGTTAGAAAGATCTAACATGCAAGCATATACACGTATTACGTATAC